TGGCGGTGAACAAAACAGACCTAGTTTTGTATACTGCACAGCCCTTGTAGACTGCACAGATCTGACGGGAAAGAGGACAAGGGTAGAGTAAATCACTAAGGAAAGTCCTTCACCTGTGCTTAGTATCCTGCATGAAAAGAACAGGATGCTTTTTGAGAGGAACAATGGGGGGCTCCTTGTTTGTCTGGTGTGGGAGGCAGAATAATGGCTCCGGACCCAAGAGGTCTACATCCTAATTCCTGGAGCCTGTGAGCATGGTGGGTGATACAGCAAATGGGAATTGCTAATTAGCTGAAAGCCAAGAAGAGTAACCTGGATTACCCAGGTGGGGCCAATAAAATCCCACGAGTCCTTAGAAGGGGAAGAGGGAGATTGGAGAGAGAAGTAGAAAGATAGCGTCACAATAACAATCCAGCCCAACACCGCTAGCTTTGAAGATAAAGGACTGGGGCCGCCAACCAAGGAATGCAGGGAGTATCTCCACACTGGAAAAGGCAAGGAAACAATTCCCCTCAGAGTCTCCAGGAGGAACATAGCCCTGCCGCCACCTTGATGTTAGCCCACTGAGACCCACTGTGGACTTCTGACCTCCAGAACTGTAAGATGGTGAATTTATGTTTTAGGTCACTAGTTTGTGGTAACTCATTGCATAGCAATAGGGAGTTAATACGCATTTGGTTACCAGGCAGACCCCTCTGAGGTGAACCCCACAGGGAGGAAAGGGCTAGGCCCGTAAGAGCAGCAGAGAGGGGCTGAGGAGAAGCCGCACCTGCCTCTCGTTCCTCCCACCAGAGTCCTGCGGGCGCAGGGCCTGCCCATCTCTCGCTGTCGTTCCAGCCCTCCTTGCTGGCCTCAGGTTCCTGTTCTATCCACCCTCACTACCTTGTTTATGAAAACAAAAGCCACCAGTTAACCGAGCAACTTAACTGAAAAGCACCTAGAAACAATGTACACCCACCCACAGCAAGCAGAGAGGCCAGGACAGGAGGAACTGGCTGCGCTCCTTCTAGGCCTCCCAACCAGCTTCTCGTCGGCTGCAGCCCCAGGAAGGCAAACAGGTCATGGTCAGGATTTCTTGGCCCTCGGGCCTAAAGCTCCCAGAGGGGCGGCTCGTGGAGGGCATGTGGGCACGTCCCTTGCTGGGTTGTCTCAAAGACCGTTTCCTGGCTGCTGAGACTCATGGAAGCCAAAGGGCAGTGAACGCCCTTCCTTCTCACCCAGCCTGGACATTTTAAGAGTTTCAAATGCCATGTCGATATCTGTTAGGTTGTACAAACATCTCCAGGCAGGAATCAACTAGTTATACCCATCAGGATACCATGGAATCTCTGGTGCAAAGCTGTTGGCATTTGCTAGGACTCAATGAAAACAAAACTCAGCCATTTCCATTCTAAGCTGATTATGTGCCCTCTCTGCTTTATTCAGCGGAAGTGGTCGATGAAGGGCTCACAGATGCTGTGCAGAGACAGAAATGGAATCTGCAAATACCAGAGAAGATCAAGAAGCCCTATTCTGCAGACCTGGGAAAGCCCTGGAGCCGGAGATGTTGGGCAGTACCCTGAGGGCAGAACCAGAATGGAAAATACAGAGTCCAAGCCAACAAGATGGAATTTAACATGGAAAAACATAATGCCTATTTTGTTTTCAGGGCCAAAAATTCAAGTATACTTGGGCAATCCCTCCTCAACGTCCGATAAGCAAATCTTACACATGAAAGTCGTCCCTTAAAAGAAAGTCTTAGCCTTAAAAAAAAAGGGCGGCCAAATTTCCTAAAATCTGTCCTGGAAAAAAACAACTCAGAAGATCTCGGTTTCCCTCTGGATTCTCCGCTAGGGGAGCAGGTGGATCATTCCATATAGTGAAACACGCGGTTGCCATGTCACAGCCTCAGACAAAGGCGGGATACACCATCTTCTACAGCCTCCTTCAGTTTGTTTCAACAAACTATACCAGCATGCCCCTGGGGTCTGTGAAATGGCGTCCCCTTCAGCACGGCCACAACTGAACGAACGCCTCCCAGATTCAGAAGCCCAAGATTATGAGTCAGAAATCTGAACAAAGTGGAAATCCTCAAACAGGTTGTGGTATATCCATGCCCTAACTCCTGGGACCTGTGAAGGTACTTCTATGAACAAAAAAAAGGTAGGGAAGAGTGTGTGTGTTGGGGGGGGGGGTCCCTTTATGGATGTAATTAAGGAATTTATTTTTTTTTTAAAGATTTTATTTATTTGACAGACAGAGATCACAAGTAGGCAGAGAGGCAGGCAGAGGGGGAGGGGGAAGCAGGCTCCCTGCTGAGCAGAGAGCCCGATGAGGGGCTCGATCCTGGGATCATGACCTGAGCCGAAGTCAGAGGCTTAACCCACTGAGCCACCTAGGTGCCCCGTAATTAAGGATTTTAAAAAGGGAAGAGAATCCTGGATTATCCGGGCGGGCCCTAAATGCAGTCCTGTGTATCCTTACAAGGGAGAGGGAGACGTGACCCCCTCCGTGCTGGGAAGGTAGAGCAGAGACTGGGAGGGAACACCAGGGCCTGCAGGAATGGACCTTTCCCTAGAGCCCCCAGAGAGGGCACAGCCCTGGGCCCCAGGACTGGAAGACAGTCACAGAAACAAACACAGTTTCCTATTAATTTTCCCTGCCTCCCTCCCTCAGCCACCACACACAGAAGGGCCTACTATGTGCTAGGGACTGTGAGGGGTACAAAAGACAAAGCAGAGGGCCTGACCTTTAGGACTCACTGGCCAGTGGCACCGCTAACTGGGCCACACACATGCTAGGCTATGGGGTGTAATCAAACATCGCCAGGGGAGGGCCAAACCAAGACTTTACGGGGCACGTGGTGTTTCCAGGTTGCCGGAAGGGTAGAGCTGGATCCCAATAGGCGGAGGAAGGAAGTAGTAGAAACCGAGGGCACAGATAAAAGAGTGACACTGGCCGATGAAAGTGTGAGGCGTGCCAGGAACCAGCGGGCAGTCAGAGGGAGGGATGAGCTGAAAGAGTTGACCAGAAAGGCAAGTTGAGGCCAGATCACGTGACACCCGAATGGCATGCCCAAGACCTGCTCTGCTGTAAGGTGGGCCCTCTGGGCCGTGTGCCAGCCCTGGGGGCAGATCAGCGAAGACCACATATGTGGGCCTGCCCTGTCCCCACAAAGCCATTCCAAAAACAGCTTTGATGATCGTGTTGGGAACAAAATCCCAAAGAGGTGAGAGAGTTTGGACACTGAGGAACAGGAACGAAGCACCGTGCTCCCTGAGCATGGCGTCCCAGCCCTGCACTGGGTCTGGAAGGGGATGCATCGCGGGGGTGTATAAGAAGAGAAAGCAAACAGAGAAGCAAGGGGGAGAGTGGGAGGCAGACCTGGGACTCCCCGCCGAGATGCTTGTGTTCCTCTCTCCACATCGTGCACCCGCCCTCTGTGCCAGGGGACAGATCACGACCTGTGCTAGCACCAGTCTGGCTGCTGGTTTGGTTGGACTGGACCTTTGCTCAGGCCTGTGATTCCTGCTGCTGCCGTAAATGTGTGAGGAACCGCCATTGGTTCCCACAGGGGTCTCTGCTAAGCCCACGACCATTTGTGTCTTGAGCCTAGTAATTAGGGACCAGGGGGCAGGACTTGGGCTCCATCTCCTGAGAGTAGGGTGGGAAGGAGTCTGGGCCCCCCACCTCTGCTGGCCTTGTGCACAGAATTTCCCGAGGCTCTGCCATGCGCCCATCCCCCCAGCAGAAAGGCAAAGGCTCTTTGCAGGTGTGAAGCTGGCAGGCCTCCCTGGCCCTGGCGAGGCCGAGGGCACAAGTACACACAGAGGCCATTTCCCATATGTCTCATATTTAAAAGTCATAAATCAAGCTAACAAACCGTTAAATGAAATATGCTTTGTCCTCCTACCTTGTTAAATACATCTTTGTAACAACCGGGAAGGCCAGGAGTGAGTTCGGAGTTCTGGCACTCCTCGGCATCTGTGCCAGGACCCGGCAGCGTGGGAAAAACCCAGTCAGGCTAGGACGGCTTCCCTTCCCGCCCCTGGCTTCGCTCATCATCCCGTGGGGACTCACACATAGGTGGGAACACCCCGTCTCACGTTTGGTTTTGTCTACCTACCACCTGTCCTTAGGCCTGGGGTGCACATGCCCATGACACGGGCGGGAAAGAGGCTGGCAGAGACATGGGGCTACTTAGGCAGGACCCCAAGGGTGGACTGGAAGAAGGGCCAGGCATCAGGTAAATGATTCAGAACAAGAAACACTACTAACCCTTAAAAGAATAAAAGAAGCATAAACACATCCAACCCAGTCCTGATTTTCCTCCTGATTTTTTTTTAAACACCTTTCAAAAAAATGCTACTTTGGGTTACCCTGCTCCACTCATGCCCTGAGGACACAGCCAGCCAGCACCAGGACAGGGGCTGTCTTTCCCCCACACCATCCTACAGTGGAAGGAACATGGCGGCCTGCCCTGTGACGGACATGTGGCTGGCCTGAGGGGTAAGGTTCCTCGGCCACCCAGTATTCAGCTTAGAATCAAGCGACAAACCCACCAGCCAACAGCCTCTCTGTCCTGAGCACACGGTCCTCGAGCCAGGGAGTAAGGCTACCGAGAGCACCTGGGGGTGAGGGGAGCCTCCTGCTGTTCCCCTCACGCAAATCGGGTGGCGGTGGGGGGGGGGATGAAGGAGGACCCCTACTGAGCACTGGCTGGGCAACCTTTGGCCAGGTCCCGCACCCCTCTGTGTTCAGACTATCTGTGTGGCCGCCAAGGGGCTGTTTGAGTGACAGTCCTCCCCTGGCACCCCCCCCACCCCGCCGACTTCCCAAGTTCACTGCCGGCCCCACTGAAGGCCCAGCTGCAGACAGAGAGGCTGAGCGTGCAGGCCTCTGCCTGATTTATTCAGGTCCACTTCTCAGAAGCATAGAGGTCACCCGGGCTGTTTGGGGGGATGCCTCCCTCGAAACCCCGTCCACTGCCCGCTGTGCAGACGCCGACAGTGCAAACTCACCAGGCACCATCCCTGTCAGCGTCGGTGCTGAGTAGCTGCCCTGTCCAGCGGGGGGGACGTGCGGAGGGTACCCAGGGAGGGTCGTGCTCGCCAAGTCACGGCCTGAGGAATCAAAGCAACAAATCACGGGGTGAGTGTCTCCGTGGCTAGCCGCTCATGTCCGCAGCTCCTGGGACATCTGCACATTTGTCACGTCTGGGCGCCGAACGCCAGTGTGCCCCCACCCCCCTCCTGTCACTCACGCATGCAAACACGTGTGCGCGCGCGCACACACACACATACATACACACGTACACACCTCCAGCCACCCTGGCTCCACTCAGCAGGGACCCACGACAGCTCTGCTGCTTCCCTGGTAAACCGGAGCTCGGGCCAGCTCACCTGGCAAGAGCTGGAGGGCTTGCACTTCCCCTCCACACCTTGGCAAAGCCCCCTCTCCTCCAGCCCAACAGCACGCACCTGCAGAGCTCAAACTCCTCCCCGCTCTGCACACCCTACAGCTGTGTGTCTGTCCTTACTGAGCTCTTCCTCCTCTGCCCCAGAGCTAGTCTTGCACCCCACAAACGTGCGGGAGAGTACCTCCTCACATCAGACACAGTTCTGAGTGCTGGGACGCAGAGATTAAGGCCTCAGCCATCGGGGGCAGATGTCCTGCGGGGGATGTGTTCACCTCTTTGCAGGCGGCTGGCTCCTGGAGAGCAGGGGGGACACCTCATTCATCCACCACAGGGCCTCACCTGGTAGGTCCCGAGTAAATGCAGAATGAGTGGGGTGTCCAGGTGTGCTGGGTTTCATGTGGTGTAGAAGAAACCCCACAGAGCAGAACTCTGTAAGGGAGACGACACCGAGTTTTGGCCACCTCTTAGGTATAAAACAGAGCTTTGGCCCTTTTAAGCACTGCCAGTGATGTGTAAGTAACCAGGTGTTCGTGAGTCAGGCAGGAACGCAGGTCTTAGGTGGTAGGATTTTTGGTGATTAGGTGTTGGGCAGTGAGGACAAGACCCCACCCTCCAGGTGGAATTGCCAATTTGCTCCTGAAAGAAGGAGATGCATCTGTTTCAGCCATCCTGGGAAGCCAGTGGGAAATGAGGTGGCCTTGGGACAAGGGAGGGAACGTGGAACATTGACCTTGTCTGAATGTGGACCCTGGAGACTGGGTGGGGGCAGCTTGGTGACCACAAAGAGCCAGGCCAGGTCCCAGGAATGTCTTTTGGGGCCCAGCAAGTTGGTGCAGGCACTCCCGCAGGTAGATGATGCTGAGCTCAGACCCACTAGAAGGTGGCCCAAGGAGAGAGAACACCTCTGATCAACACTCCCCAAAAAATCCAAGCCAGCACACAGTATGGGCCGTGAACATTCCCCCAATAAACCAACAGCCTTTCTAGTGCTGGTCCTTCAAAGACTGTCCAGCCAACAGCCAGAGGCTGCCTCATTTCACAGAATTCTGCTTACCTTCCAGAATCTTATGAAACAGCAGGCACGTGGCCTCCCCTGCCCTCTGCTCACCACCTCCCTGGCTTTGGCCTGGGCATCCCAGCTTGTGACAAGCATTGCTTGTGTCTCTTCATATGAGGCATTGGAAGGGGAGCAAATGAACTACCTTTGACTCCCCCATAAGAGCTGACATTAAACAGAAAACCAGAATTGACAGAACTGACCACTTCTAATAAAGGTGACTTAAGAAGGTCTTCTCCCCAGCCTTCGTATGCCTCCCCCCTCATCCTCCTCTGATCCAGCGCTCACAGCCCTCTAGGGCAGCTTCTGTCTCCAGCGTGTAAGCTCCTGGGTCACGTCTTTGCACCCAAGGTCAGAATGGCAGAGGCCTGTAGATACTTGTTCAGTGAGTGAAAGCAGTGGCCCTGTTGGGAGAAGCAGGAGCTCTCTGGAGCCCATAGAAGTTCCTCCACTTGTGGTCAAGAATCAGTGAAGGGAGGGCCCTTGAAACACTTCTGGACCAACCCTGTTACCATTCTGCAGATGGCAAAGCTGAGACCCTCGGTGGGCAGGGAGCAATGGGCTCAGGTCCCGCAGGGGGCAGGTGGCAAAGCAGGTGCGTTAGCCCACGTTTCCTAACATCAGCCCAGGACCCTCCTCTACCTGGTTGTCTAAGATGAGAAAGAGGGTCATGGGAAGAGAAGGGGCTCCACCAGGGATACCCAGCTGATCGGAGACAAGGCTGGGACTGGAATGCAGCTCTCCTGCCTCCTGGGACTGGGTTCTTTCTTCAACAAGAAGCTGTGCCTTTGGTCAGAACCCCAACAGTGTCTGCCAGTGTTACGCATGCTTTAAAACTTTGACCCCTAAAGCAGAAAATGCAGTGCCTCACCAAAGCACCCAACTCAAGAAGCGAGATAGAAAAGTAATAAAATGGGGTGCCTGGGTGGCTCAGTGGGTTAAAGCCTCTGCCTTTGGCTCAGGTCATGATCCCAGGGTCCTGGGATCGAGCCCTGCATCAGGCTGTCTGCTCAGCAGGAAGCCTGCTTCCTCCTCTCTCTGCCTGCCTCTCTGCCTACCTGTAATCTCTGTTGTGAAATAAATAAATAAATAAATAAATAAAATCTTTAAAAAGAAAAAGGTAATAAAATGGGGTACCTGGGTGACTCAGTCGGTTAAGTGTCCGACTCTTGATTTTGGCTCAGGTCCTGAGATCGAGCCTCACACTGGGCTCCATGCTGGCCATGGAGCCTGTTTAAGGTTGTCTGTCTCCCTCTGCCCCTCTCCCCTCTTAAAAAAAAAAAAAAAAGTTATAAAATGAACCTAAGGAAAGGAAAAGGAAGGAATTGATAAAGAAAAAGCAGAAGATAAAGAATTAGGGAACAGAGAAAAGCAGACACAACAAATGCGCCCAAGGATTGTTATTGAAAAAGACCAATAAGACAGACAAACCTAGGGCAAGATCCAAAAAAGAAGACACAAATATGAAGGAATGAAGAGAAGATACAACCAGAGACATGGAAAAGATGATATTAAAAAAAGCAAAAATGTTTACACTAATACATATGGACTTCTTAGCAAAAAGTACAATATTTTAGGAAAATACAAATTATTAAAATTAACCCGAGAAGGAGAAAACACAAACAGCCCAATCACTTTGGCAGAAATAGAAAAAGTTCTTTTTTAAAATTCATTTTAAATTTAAGATGTTCATTTAGCTTTCAGGCAAGTCTTGTTTCTTTTTGTTTAGGGCAAGTTCTTCTAAGCCTTCAAAGGACACATACTTTTGTTATTAAACTGTTCCAGGATATATAAAACTAAAGAAAATCTTCCCGATTCATTTTTTTCCAAGCTAGCATAATCCTGGCATGAAAACTTAACAAAGGTGTACCAAAATGAAAATTAAATGCTACTACCACAATTTATTAATAGCCATGCAAAAAAAATCTTGTTTCATTGATCAAACAATATTAGAAAGAATAATATACCATGAACAAATAAGGTTGATTTCAGACTTGCAAGGATGATTCAGTTTTAAAACACTGTTTGGGAAATCATAGTAATCTATCAAAAGTTGAAAACCATACGATTATATCAAAGCTGTGGAAAAGGCATTGGATAAAATTTGATACTAATTCCTTACAATATTGCTCTTGGTAAGTAAGAACTGAAGTACACTCCTTTGACCTGGTGTCGATCTTAAATCTTGAGTCGACATCATACTTAATTGGTAAAATACTTGAAACATTCTTTATTAAAATAAAAAACATGTCAAGGAAAACTGTTATCACTGAAAACTGTTCTGAAAGTTCGAGCCAGTTCCAGAAGAAAAGATAGAGACCCAAGACAGATAAACACTGGGGGTGGGGGGGAACGGACGACACCAAGATTATCATGAGCCGGGTATATCCTGAGCCTGGGAAATCAGCTCATGTACCAGAACCAGTGAAAAGGTTTGGTGAGACAGCTGGGAAACAGATGTCTAGAATCAGTATCTTTCTAGATTCTGTAACTCCCCACTACCTCTCCCATCAAGTACAGGTTTTTCAGGTCGGCTTCTAAAGCTGTCCTCAGTCTGTACCCCCAACCTGTGACCTTTCCAGCCTCATCACCCTGACACCACCCGGGGCCATTCCCCAAACCTGCCCTGCCCTTTCCTATCCCTACACCTTTACTCAAGCTCTTCCCTTTCCAACTGCTCTTCTATTCCTATCAATTCAACACCGCATCCAATCTCCACCCTCTGCCCTCAGAGTCTGCTCCCTTACGGAGTGTTTCTAGGCCCTTCAAGTCTTTGTAGAATCAGCCTCTTCTGCAGGTCCCTCTGCTCCCCACCCTGTCCCAGTGCAAAGGGAGCCTCAGGCCAGGGGAACAGATAAGCTGGGGGAGACATCACTCAGGATAAGATAACACTTACTTGTGCCAGACACTCTTTTACAAACGTTAACTCATTTTCTCAACCTGATGACTCCATGAGTTTCAAACAACCGTCATACCCAAGGAACTAAGGAATGAAGAGGTTAAATAACTTCCCTAAGGTCACAGGCTAGGAGGAAACAGAGCTGGGATTTGAAACCAAGGGTCCTGGGCTCTACCCTAAGCTTCTTTGGTGATGGTACAGGGTGGGGATGTGGGTGGGAGAGAATGAGCCAGAAGGACGGGAGGATGGAGAACCAGGAGGGTAAATTTCTCAGGTTTGCAGCTGGAAGGGGTGAGCAGGTTGGAGCAAGGAAGAGGGAGTGGGGGTCCAAGATGGGCTGCTGGAAGTCAGGACAGAAAGTGGTTGTCAGTGTCCGTTTGGGAGGAAACTGGCCAATCTTGGTCCGCCAGACCACCTGGACTACAGGCTCTGTGGGGGTGGGGCTGCCCCGGCCTGGCAGGTAGCTGATGCTCAGAACTCCTGGTGCGGGGAGCAGGACACGAAGGCCATCCAAGGCCCATTTACCGGTTTTGCTACGTACTGAACTGCCGTGGACCTCTGGGCAAGGCACTCTACCCTAGCCTCAGTGTTTCTCAAATTGAAAAGAGAGCTCTTAGCTCAGTGATCTCCAGACTTCCCAGAGCTCATATCTGTCTCTGTGTGCATAAACTTGAAGGATAATTTAGCTCTGAGTAGACGGTTCTACCCTAAGGTCCAACTGCACCCGCCCCTCTAGAACTTCCACAAA